AGACAACCGTTATGCCTCCAGCCATCGTGTCCTCAGGTGACCATGCGTGCCCTCGGTGACGCCAGCACGTACATGCGTCTTTTAGTGGCCCTTGTCATGCGTGACCTCAGAACCTAGTCAGCGGCGGTCTTGCGTGTTCCGTCTTTGATATCCTGCCTCGAGGACGGCACGAGTGTTGGGCCCTCCTAACAACCCTATTCTTTTTATTCTTCTTGTTCCTTGTTTTTATTCTTCTTCCTCATTAGCATCATAGGCGTCAGAAAGCCTGATTTAAAAAGACAACAGATGCAAATGCCATCGAAGGGATCGAAGGGATATTTAAGATAAGTCTACAGCTCCATAACTCGTTGATGAACGTTCACCTGAGCGCTAACAGGACTCATCTGTCCCGCTCTGCCTTGGATCTCGCCAGAGGCCCTCACAACCTAACAGCTGGTAGTATAGGCAGATATTATTGCAGGCAAGGAAAAGTGAGAATAGAATGGCCGTTTCTAGCTTATTAGACGTCCTCAGCCAGTTATACCCAGACCCAAATGGTGCCCTACACGAGCCTCGAACTCGCGACCTTGGTATGACTGGCTGACGACGGCTAATAAGCCGGAAATGGCCATTCTAGTTTCCTTTGTCCTTGCCGGCAATACCATCAGCCCCACAACGCTTAGGTGAACGAAGAAAATTTAGTTGTTCACAGCATCGAAGACTGGCCTTGCCGATTTAATTTTTGTCGATTGGCCTAGCTAGGCAAATCCGCTTACCACTACTTCAAGCAGCTTGAACCTACGTTACGTCTACGAAGGCTCAAGACGATGAACTCACTTTCTTCTTGTTTTGCAAAGCGAATTTACAGGATTATATAATCTACTCGGATCACCGTTTTTGCTTATTTGAGGGCTTTTTAACCAACTTGTTTACCTGCGTTCGATAACGCCGTTTAGAAGGGACCACACAAAGATAATTTAGTGGCATCCTTTAGTGACTTTCAAACCAAACTGCGGCAATACTGTGTTGTTGAACAAAGAAACGAATTTTTTCAGTGTAAACCAAATATTCCGAATTCTAGCGCTAGTTAGAACCTCGATTGCCCTTTTTATCCTCTGGAAACGGGTAGTAAACTATACTCCAACTTTTTAATTGAACCAAACACCCCTTACGGCATTGTTGTTAATTGCATCTTTTACAATCCCTGTTAAAGGCCACATCATCGATGACGCCAAAGGGTGCTCTGCTTCAATTGCGGCGTCGGTGCGAGCTAGGACGTGCAAATGAACGCTACTCAGCGCTTTCAGAATCACCTTCGCCGCCGGGTACGAGATCGCCATCGGTCTCTATTCCAAGATACCGCGCCGGAGAATCTGTTGTTCTTTGTGGTCCGCCGTGTGCCTCTCAGGTGCGTTTTATCTATTCTTTGCTCTTTAAGTGGTTCCGAGCCTTCCCCCTCCCCTGCTTATTAATTGAAACACGCAAAACCGGTGGGATTTAAATTCATTTTTGATTCTGAAAGCACCGTTAAAAGGATCCATCGCAAGCAGTCATTAATGTACTAAGAAATTTGGAAATCTACTGACTAAAATAATCCGGAGAACCTGCATTGTTGTAACCGAGTGTGTTCCTGTGTCAACACTGGTTATGCCCCCCCCCCAGTACGTGTTAGGAATAGAAGACAGAGCAGGATAATAAATAGTACTTTACTGTCAGTTGTACTAGTACATCAGCTCTGTTCCAATGTGTCCAGCAGCTTGCCTTCTGTGGTTGGTCTCGCTTCGACAGTCTAGATGACGTGCTCGGTCATCCTTACATTCATATAATGTTTGAGTAAATTTCTTTGGCTAAATGAGAACTACGATTTACAAATTCACTATATATTATAATAAAATGTTTCTTGTTCATTTGATGTAGTCGAATTAATTTTCCATTTTTTTTGTCTTCGACCAAAAACCTGTCTCAATAATTTGACTGCTCTGAGAAATGAAAAATATTCGAAACTTTAGAAAACGAAATGTTACCCACCGAATTTGCACCGGATTCTCTAGACATCAGCTTTCGTAACTGCATCTGTGAAATAATTGAGAAAGAGATGCACTTTATTTTGAAAATATGATCCCAAGATTTTCAGCAAAAAAGTCCTTCATTCAAAAGGAATAAAATTAGGCGCAAAACTCACAACACCGGGAAATCAAAAGTAATCCATAATCGCCAATGACTGCAATTTTCGACATCGGGGATAAATGCCCTTGGAAAATCCGTCAAGTATGTGCCAAGTTGGACTGCTTTCAAAACGGCGCTCGCGTCTTCACCTCCTGCACTCATGACCTCATTGTAGTTCAAGTAAGCCGAGGGGGATAAACATCGGTTCATAATGGGCGAAGTAGGCCGACCGACGCATTTATAAGAAAATGTATATTCGAATGGAAGGAGGAAAAAATGGCGCCTCGATTTGAAAAGCTCTCCGGAGGTTCCTTCCTTAATTACGAGGTTGGCCCCATGTAGTCCATGTGACAATTGTTTGGTTCCCGCTACACAAGGACTGCTGCGGAGAACTAATTGTACTCTACGTTTGTCCCCAGAAGCATTAACCGGAACTTGGTGAAATAAATTTACAAGTATATAAAGCTGGATGTTCACAAGTATTTGCTTTTACTGTTCCAAAGAAAATGTGAGGTGCATCTTTAATATACCAAAATGTGTTGTCTTAAGTATCAATCATACAAGTGGAGGTAGTAGCAGGTTGATGGGCGCAAACTTAGCCGCATATTCGATCCCCGTGCATGTAACTTACAAATATTATGCGTTTTTTAAGAGGAATTTGCTGCCAGCTACATTTAGAGTCCAATGCGGCTTACTTTTCGCATAACTGTCTACTTACTTCGTAGCAGTAGGCATGCTTTTCTTTTAATGATTTGGCATCGGCTGTTTCCCAAGTTTGACGCAGATCTTTTCGTTTAGTTTATTTTTGTTTCGCTTTTTTGGCGACAGATGGCTGCCTTTTGGCTTAGAAACTATTGTGAGTTTAAACATTGGGGAAAAAGCCAAAATAGACATAGAGTTGACATAGAGTCGTCGATTTTATCCAATTTGGCTCTATTGGGTCTTCTTGTCTTCCATTGGATGTATTTCTCATTTCATTTATAGCGCACAACCTTTTGGTTATTTGTATAACTGGCAGGACTCCCTTGATAGGTCTCTGGCTTTGCCTTTGACTTATCATAATAAACTGCTTTTACATCTTCAGTAGCTCGGTTTTCCTTTTTTCGATAAATTCCTCCAGTGTAAGGTCGAATTTCCATCAATAGGCATCAGTTGCCTGGGCACTAGGAGTTTATGTTGATAGAGTTGATTATATTTAGCTCATTAAAATAATTATAAGTGGCATTAATTTGATATTATTTTAGCACTTTCGATACAGTAAAATGTTCATCTACACTCGTTGACCAAGAATTAAATGTTTGACTAAAAATTTTAAGTATTTCTATTTATGTATGTTTTCAGCTGCGCCGTCGTGCCGCAAGCATTGTGCATTGTCCATGCAAGTCCCCTCACTGTCCGTTATCACCAGCTAAGCAGGAACTTCTTGTAAGTCAACGTTTTATGAACCCTTAAGTGTCAGACTTTATAATCTTTGGATGCGTATTTTCTGGACTGTACTAATCGCCAATGCACCTTCTTAAAACTGTTATGAAGTACAATTGTTAAATTACTAGAATAACAATACTTTTACGCACGAAACATGCCTATGCTACGTTCGTTTACTGTGGCTTGTTGGTATTCTTACGGCAACCCTCCTCTTTACACATAAGAGTCCCATTCGGCAAGTTACCAGTCGTGTAGGCTAATTAGGCGTAGGCATAATTAGTTTTGTTCGGAGCATAAAACCTCATTTCTCATGGCAATTTTTAAATGAGAGATTGCGTTTTTGGGAAGTTAAAACCGCTGCGAATATTAGTTATTTTGGTTTAATTCCTTTAGTTTTTTGTCATTTTGGAGTAACACCAGTATTTTTAATCTCGTTCACGCTTTGTACAGTTATTGAGTTGCAGGTTCGCAAAATGCAGATTTCCAAGTATTTTCATTGTGTTACGCAAGCTTTAGAAGAATGCGTATATTTATGTAAACAATCGTTGAAGCAAACGTAGCAAAAGTTTCTAGGTAAACTTATTTAAACAGGCATCGTTCTTCATCCCTAATGACAGCTTTTAACAAGAAGTAGGTTGTTTTGTTGCTGGACTGATCTGTCAATAGGTGTGCTGCCATTACAACACCGCACATTCTTCGTAGGATTTTACTAGGCTTCCCAGTCACCGTTTTAACTTGCAACTTTGGAACCATGTGCGCCAGACTTACGCAACAGGGCGAAAGTTGTATAAACCAGTCTTTAAAGAGTTCAGAACGGAATACGAACTGATTCGCTTTTTTGGACCTCCAATTTTGGACCCTAACAGGCGGTTACACAGTCACGAGACTAGACACTCGATGGGCATAACGGACAAAGCGTAGACTGGAGTATCCTTAAACAAAAGTACTTGAACTCAAATCTCAGGTCTTCTAGTTGAACGTATATTGAAAAAATCTCGTGCGAGATTTTCTGTGAGCTTCGACGCGTACCGTAACGCCGGTCAGCTTGTTAGGCCTATTTGGCACGCTTAAAACCTAACCGCCTTTCTGCTACCTACCTTTTCATTGATTCATTCATTCAAGGGCTTATTTTATTCTCCCCGTTTCAGGCCGGCAACGCTGTAGTTCAACGAGGCTTTCAGAAGCTTGCCGCCTGCTTCCGTGGCAAACTGACGCGTGACATGTTCCTTACGGAGAAAGTATCCACTCTTATTAGGACAATTAAGGTGAGTCGATCCTACATTTTCTATCATCCGGCTTGAGTGCATAGGTCAGATCAGATTCATTGGGGGAAAATCTAAATAAACGCCTTTGAACTCCCAATTGGTACACGGCAGTTAAAAAATGCATCGGTAAAGCAGAACATCTCAAAAGAGGTCGTTTACATAATTGCAGTCGAAAGGCGAGACACCGGTTTGGTCAACGTTTAGTATCAGTATCAGTTTATTGAGGGAAAGCTAGGCAAACGCCTTTGAGATCCCTATTGGCATTATAATAGCTAAAAAAGCATGGATACAAGAGAAAAAGAAAATAGTAATAAAATTGCTAATATAAACGAACATGCGAGTCCCCGAAAGTAGTTGAGAAGTAGAGGACGACTCGATCGCCGAGACAATACGTTTATCCGCCTGACGTTTCGAAATCCGTAGCGGATTCATCTTCAGAGACATACTCACAGAACAGTAGCAAAGGCAGTTTGTGTGTGCACACAGGGTTTTGCCTAAAGGCTAAAGTATTCAGGAAAGCGACAAAAACGATGCAAGTACTGAATTACAACAATAACCACCCAATCAGTCACAAACGCAGTTGTGTAAGGACGCTCTATCGGCGTGTTGAGACCCACTGCCACGGCAAGAAAAATCTGGAGTCGTCTA